CTTTATAAAGGAAAGAAAAGAATTTTTAGTATTCACAAATCCTTTCCAATGCATGGTAACATGTTGTACTGCTTAAAAAGCTTTTTCAAACAAATAAAACAAGAGTTAATTTTCAATAAAACTATGTAAAAACAAAAAAAAGTGAAAATTGCTCCTAATCACAATTATGTATTTACTTTTTTTTTTTTATGTATGGAGAAGTGAAATGAAGTAATGCTTGCATGAAATGCTTACATGGATGAAAAAAAATGTATGCACAAATGCATGTATGTAATGCATGATGCAATGAATTTGAGTAAATAAAACTCTTATTTTGAAAAGTGGATCAACACAAAGACATGGATCAACAAAACTCAAAATCTCACTTTTTTTAAGTAAATAAAACTCTTTTAAAAAAAAAAAGAAAAAAATTTAAATTTAAATTACAAAAATTAATTCAACAAAATAAAATATCAACAAATACAAGATCAATACAAAGACATATTATTGATAAGGGATTGACATAGCTTTACCTTAAGGCTAAGTTCTATAAGTTCACTACATGCTTGTTTAGGATGTTTCACAATCTAAAAGGTTCTTAAAATGTTTTTTAGTATCGTTTATGATTGACTAGTAAGGCATCATCCACCACAAGCTATAAATGAAAAGAGTTCAATTTGAATGAGAGTATTTTGTTAACCCATGCAAAGGTATAAAACCTTACGAAAACATACATGTTTTACTCCTTCTTAGAAGGATGAAACCCAAGTATAGAGTTCATGCATGCATGTGTAGTGTGTGTGCATAGAAGAACATTAAATGCTAACAAATACTACATGAAAATAATTAAGTAAAACCATTAAATTTGTTAAGGTTTGGATAACACAAAATCAATTATCAACTCAACTCTCAAATTTTCTAACGGAATCGCCAAATTATCATAATGTACAAGTCTAAAAATTCAATCATTACACAAACTAGGAGTTGCACAATTTTTTTTTTGTTTAGGAGCGATTGGCTATCTAATTTACTATTATTTTTAAAGATAAATCCTAAAATCAACTTAGGTTCTTTAAAAAGAATAGGTTTTGATCCACGAAATAGAACTAAGTTTGAGAATGTGATTATGTGTAGGGAAAGTTATAGCATATCTATAATGCCCCATATAAAGGGATGATGCTAGTTAGTTTTAATGTTATCCAAAGCTTTAAAAAATTTTACCAAATAATTTAATATTAGAAATTATTCTTTAAATTACTCCAATAATTTGATAGCAATTTAAAAATATTTTTTACATCAAAAGTATTAAAGAATAATATTGTCTATCCTGAGAAAGTTTTGTTGTCAAATTCATTAAGATTTTCAAGAAATTATTTTCAATAAAATCAATAAAATTTTATAATAGGTTGGTAAAATTTTATTTTAAAATTTAAATTCTCCAATAGTTTATAAGATTTCTATAAATTTGTTAACAAATCATTAAACTTTCTAATAATTTGGTAAGATTTAATTTTAAGATTTAAATCCTCTAATAATTTAATAACATTAATTTCATTAATTTTGTTTTTCTAATTTTCTTTATAAAGATCATTAAACCTTTCAATCGTTTAGTAAGATTAATTGCATATTTTAAATTCTCCAATAGTCTAACAAGATTAATTTTTAAAATTATTTTTTTAAAACTTGGGAAAATCCTTCAATATATTAGTAGGATTTCAAGAATTTATTTTCAAAAAAGTTTTATTTAAAAAGTTATAAAATTTTCCAATATGTTGATAAAATTTTACTTTAAAAAATGAATTTTCAACATTTGAATTTCAATATAATAAAATCCTCCAAATAGGTTGGTAGGATTTTATCTCGAAATTAATTTTCAAAAATTAAATTTTAAATCAATAATAATACATTAATAAGTTAAAAAAATATATGTAGCAAATAAATAAATAAATAATTTATATAAAAAGAAAAAGGGTTAGATAATAAATCAAATAAAAGTACTAAAAAAATTGAAAAGAAAAAAGTTAGTAAATAAAACGATTAAAAAAATTAAATAAAAATAAAGCAAAAATAAAAAAGAAAATAATCAAATGGGTCAGCATATAAGTCGGGCGAAGCACAAGTCATTACAGAGTTAATGTGGGTTAAGCTCATTTTTGCATTAAACGACACTGTTTTGATTCAATATAAATAGCCCAAAAAAATTTTTTCATTTCTTCTTCTGTCTCTCTCTTTTAGAGTCATCTCTAACTTTTCTCTAAAATTCAAGAAGCCCAAAAACATCGACCAACCCCAAACCAAAATCTGGCCAATTACCTCGGTCACCAACATCTTGGCTATTATCATCCGTCGTCTATCGGTGATGGTTCAGAGACTTCACCCAAATGTTCTACTTGAGTCCTCTTTAGATCTAGTTCAATGGATTTTCCAAAAACCTTTTAAATTGTCCTAGATTTAAGTTCAAACTTTTTGGTTAGCACCCTTATAAGGGTTATCCCTACCAATCTGAATGACACCAGGTTTTAGTACTCTTTAATATGATCTCCCTCTTTGTTGTTTTAGATTTCTCAGAATATATGCACCACATTGAGTCACCACTAATGTCGCCATTATCGACAAACACCTAAAGATCATAAAAATGTTTTTCACTCACTAACCTAGAAACCAAAAAAACTAAAACCTAGAAAAGGGTAAAACTCAAAGAAACAACCCCAATTGGTAGAAAACCTTTTTTGAATTTTTCTTGTTTTCTCTTTTTATTTGCTGTTGATTATTATTAGGTTTATTGTTTTGGTCTTCCCATATATTTTTTTATGCTAATAACTCAAGACTCCATTTTTTTTTATGTCATTGATTCTTATTGTCCTTCTCTTTTTTTAACTATTAATTTATGAAACCTTAAACAACTCCATGAAAACTAGACCTTAAAACACTCTATACCTTGTTGCTAGAACCTTTTTCTTTTTTGTTTTTAAAAAATACCCAAAGACCAACCTTAGCCTAAATCAATCCACCAAACCAAGATCAATTCCTTTTGTTTTTTGGCTACTAAAGAATTCAAACTTTACCTAAAAGAATTTAACCCCAAGCAATGCCACACTTATTTTGGCTCTTTTTCCCTATCAATGAATCTTTGAGTTGTTTTTATAGAGAGTTAGTCTCAATCTAAAAAGAATTTGAATTTAGAAAGATGATTTGTTCCATAACAATTCTATCATTAGAGTTTTAATTTGCAAGGGATTCAAATAAAAAAATCAATTTTTTCGGAAGAAGATTAAACCAAAAGCAACTTTCGATTTTCCCTTTTTACTTTTTTTTTCTACTTTTTTAATTTTGATTTTGGCCAACAAATTAAAAGAAAATAGAAATAAGTTAAATACAAAAAATAAATAAAAACTTTAGGGCCTTTTTCGACTGTGGGCAAAATTGAAGCCCAATAAATAAAAACTCGAGGCTTAATAATATTGAAAGAGATTTTGGACAAAATTGCATATATATAAAAAAGATTTTTAAAAAATAAAAATTACAAAGAGAATAAATGTTAACCAATAAATCATACAATAAATGCAAAATTATTTTATCTTATTATGGGTTAATAAATTAAATTTCAAGATAATAATGAATAATAGTAAAAAATAATTTTCTTTATTTTTTGTCTTATTATACATATAATTTATGATTAAATTCTTTATTAGTTTTAAAAATAGAAAAATTACAATGCTTCTTTTATAGCACAAATAGCTAACAATTAAAGCATAGTCTATTGGATTTTAAGTTTATATTATTTTAATCTTATTATATCATCGTGGTATTTCATGTATTCATTAAAAAAATTTATTACTTTCAAAAATTGTTATTACCTGTATAAAAAAATAAAAAATCATAATGAAATTATTTATTCTTTTTTAAAATAAAAAGTTTTAACCTTGAGTATACCTAAATAATCTAATGATAATGCATTTGTATTCTTATTTTTTATTTACTTATTAATTTTTTAAAATTTTCCTTTATCAAATATATAACAAAAAATAGATATAAAAAAACATCAAAAATTTTTTTTAAACATTAATAAATTTTTTTAATAATTATAAATTTAATCCTATAATGCAAGTATCTTTTCTAAAAATACCCAAGTAATAGGTGGATAAATTTTACTTTTATTAATTGTGTTGATAATTCTAAGTTAACATATACATATTTATATATATATATATAATTAAGTTTAAAAATATTATTTTGATTCAAATTTGTTATAAATTTAATTTTGATCAAGAAGAAAAAAAAGTACGAGAGTTACACTAATATAGTGAATTTTTACTCTTTTTATATTATATATAAAAGTCATGATCAATCTATACTAGAATAAAATTAAAAGGTTTTATACTTTTTTTTAACTATTAATTTCATTAAATCTTAAGAAAGAGATTAAACAAATTTTTTTCTTTTTTTGACTTGTCTCTATCATATTTTGGATTTATTAAAATCAATAATAAAAAAATAAAAACACTTTATTTTATATTAGTGTAAGTTAATAATTTTTTAATGTATACATCAAATATTCCTAAATTTCAAGAGAAAAAATGATTTAAAAAAAAGTTATAGAAGAGAATGTGTATTATTAGATTTTGTTGATTTTAAAAAATGTAAGATTTTTCAATTTAATTAGAGGAATATAAGATTGTTTAATAAAATCTCTTACTGCAATATCTTTGGTGATATTTGATATTTATAACATGTGAATAAATAATGATTTATTTAAAATTTTATTTGTTTAATATGTAATAGTTTATTTAATATTTTTATTAAATTATTTAAATAAAATTATTTTAGGTTTTATTGAAATTGGAATTAAAAAAAAAAAAAGAAAGAAAGAGTAACAGAGGACATTCGACGTGACATTTAAATTCTCCCTCTTTCTCAAGTCCTTGTGCTAATACCTTCATATAAAAGAAAAAAAGGAAAAGAAAAGCAGAGGGGCAGTGCAGTTCGTGCGGCGTGGTCTGAGACAGAGAATCCTACTGGAAATGAAGATGGATGGAATTATATCTCTGCTCCTTGTTTGTATGATCATACTGGTAATTTCAAAAGGGTTTGCTTTCTTTGTTTTAAGATTCTATTAGTATCATTTGTGTATTGATTTGGGGATGGCAATCATCAGTTGGTAGCTAACGGCAGAGTTGGAAGTCGTAAGAGTGGCAAGTTTTCTTCGTCTTCGGTTTTTTCTTTGTTCACTATTAAAGAAAAGAGTAGGTTTTGGAGTGAGGCTGTTATACGTGGAGGTACCCATGATTTTCTTTTCCTTTCCCGGAAAATATACTCTCAATTTTCTTTTCAAGTTTTGTTGTTGTTGTTATTATTGTTTCTTTAAAAGATTTCTCTCCTTATCTTTTTTCAGATTTGGATGATTTTGAAACCAGGAGCCCTTATGAAATGGGTGTTTACAACTACACCAAGGCAGGTAATTGAACAAATTGTGCGTTAATTTGGTTTTGAATTTGCCCTAACATTTCAATTTCATGAATTGCATTTCAGTTCACCATATGTCTTCATCCCTTTTGGAGGTAACATTGCAAATTACCTAAACCTTATGGAAGTCGATTCTATGTACCTTCCGGTTCCTGTCAATTTCATTTTCATAGGATTTGAAGGAAAGGGGAACCAAGGTATCCCAAACTTTTACATTTCTTTTTTACTTCAGTTACTACTATCTTTTTTGTTTTTTTTTTTTTTCACTTTGATGATACTTGTAATTCTGATTTTTCATTTCCTTGATCACATTTGTTTTCGTTTGTAAATAGAGTTCAAGCTTCATCCAGAAGAACTTGAGGGATGGTTTACCAAAATAGATCACATCCTTGCACATACACTAGTTCCGCAAAATGGAGAACTTATCAACCCATTTAACAAAATTAGCATAGATAAAATGCAACATCACCATCTTCCCAGCATCAGTCATATTTATTACAAGTAATACTCTTTTTTTTTTGTTTTTATTAATTTGTTGTTGATTTATACACTTGATGGCAAGATATGTTTCCTAGCAACTCTTAAATTAAGATTTTCATATTATTGTAATGTATTGATGAATTTCTCTGCAGTTTCTCTGTCCATGCCATACAAATGGGTGAAAAGGTGACTTCTGTCTTTGGACGTGCTATCAATGTTTTAGCCCACAAAGATGATGTATCTGATGACAGGTGAAACAAGTCCTAACCCAAATTCTCTTTTATTTGATTGTTTATGTTACTTAAATAACATTACTTTTTCTTTTTTTTTTTTTTAAATTGTTTGGGGTGTTTGTCACTCTACTTGTGGGCTCAAATCTGACTTGTATATTCCTTTTAACTAGAAAAAAAATCTCATTTGCACATGGCAACCACTAAAATTGGGAAATGGAACTTTTATAGTTTTTTCAACTTTTGATGTTTAAAATCTTGTGAGATGAGGAAAACATTCAATGATTAAATGTTTTGATGAAAAGCATCAATAATGAAATGTTCTAGCTGGTTAAGAACATAGTCTCTTGTGCAGACTGTTTTCTGTAAACTGTTAAAGTGTCTCATCAAATATTCTTCCCATTTGGTTGGTTTAGGTTTTTTTAATCTGAATTTCATGTCCTTATCTTCATTCACTAATACCACGGCTCATTGTTGACAGGGATGGCACTGATTCGCTTTGGCAAGTGGATGTGGACATGATGGATGTTCTTTTCACTAGCCTTGTTGAATACCTTCAGCTTGAAGATGCATATAACATCTTCGTTTTGAATCCTTGATGTGATTAAAGAAGAGCCAAATATGGATACTGGTGTGTATTTTAGTAAGAAAATTGCATTTATCTTTTTCGTTAGTTTTTAGGACAAACAAAACCAAAAATTGTAAAACCATACATATGAACTAGTCCTTCAAACTTATGCCTTTAGTTCCGGCTATTGGTCTTAATATTTCATTGTTCTTACCAATTAATTGAGATAAATTTATGTTCTTTTTCCTTCCAACCTAATCTAGCTTTTCTCTACCTTGTAGCTTTTTTGATGTTGCAGTAGGCTTATGATACAGAGTGGACTATCTGTTGCACTATTATTTAAATCTAGATTTGTTTACTATACTGAAATGTCTGTCTAACAATTAACATAGAACTATTAGTGACCTGGAAAATTATTTTGGTTCCACATAAAGACATCTTTTCTTTATTTAAATATACATATATATATATATATATATATATATTGAATTGCCAACCACATAAAGACAGAATGCACTAATAATGGTCTTTCCGTACCATAACTTCTGACTTTTGAGAAAAATGTACATTATTTCTCAGACCTTGTACTTTAGAGTTTAAAGCGCAAATCAATCTGTTACTAACTGATATGCTATTAACATGTTCCATTGTCAATGTTAAACCACCATTCCCTATTGCCAAGGCTGCCACCATTTAATTGGTGACATAAATGCATGATCTTCCTCTTTAAATTGTTGGAATCATCCTACGATATAATTGAACTTATACTTAGTCTTACTTATCATTACAAAGTATGATACTCTAATCCATTATCTACTTACCAAAACTATCTAGCTTATTGTTTATTTATTTGATTATAAGAATCAGTTACTTCCTTTGGTAATTAAACTAATTGTTATACCTAATCTCATTTAGTTATTCTATCAATTATTTAGCTTTTTTTATTTGTTCTGTTTCTTTCTTAGTCTTTACTTTTTAAAAATCAATTGACAAGAGAGGTTTATCTGAGTTCAAAATAACTTTACTAAAAGAGGTATTTACGGGTTTCTTTGTTGCTTATATGTTCACGTTGTCCATTCTGTTTGTCTATTAAGTATCTGTGGGAAAACACTTATTTACAGTTGGTTGTAATATTATAATCTGTATATTGATAGTTAGGATCTCTAGAATTAAGTATTTGTATCTCTAGAATTAAGGAAAAAAAATTAGGATAGATAATCCTTCAATTATAGGATCAGTTTTTAAGAAGATTTAGTTTCCTAGTTTAAGCCCTAGTTAGTTGTATATAAACCTAAGGTGCTTGTATAATTCTTAATAAGCAGTTTTTCAATATACATTCAGTTTTTATTCTTAGTTTTTCATATAGTTTTATTTCTTAGTTTTTTCACATGGTATTAAAGCTTTAGGCTCTTATTGGAAAGTAAAATTTTCAGCCTTCATTGCTGACTTCTACTTTAGGCCTTCATTGCGGAACCTTGTTAAGGCCTTCATAGCCATTTTATTTTTCCCTTCTTTAGCCTTCATTGCTAAGTCATTTTTGGTTATATCTTAAGACTTGTTTCAGTTCAAAGAAAGATATCATTACCACCCAATTTGAGGAAGTGTCAACTGAAAAAATCATCGGAGTACTACAGATGTCTTAGAAATAAGGAGAGTTGGACAGAGAAGAGATTGAGAAGTTGAGAAGCCTATTGAAAACCCTTGAAAAGCCTAATGGGGTATGTTCCTTGGGTAAGGTCTCTAGTTCAAGTAAAGCTTCTGGTTCTCATGGATTAACTGTCTCGGTTAAGCCTATTGCGAGTTCTTGAGTCATTGACTCAGGAGCCACAGACCATATGACACATTCCTCACAAAAGTTTAGTATATATACCCTATGTCCTAGTAATAAGAAAATTATTATTGCAGATGGTTCACTTACTACAGTGGTAGGATTAGGAGATGTTTAAATTAGTCCCTCGTTTGTTCTTAAAAATGTTCATGTTTTTGGATTGTCTACTAATCTAATATCTATACAAAAACTTACCAGAAATATGAATTGCAAAATGACTTTTTATCCATCTTATTGTAAATTTCAGGACCAGAGTTCGGGGAAGAGGATTGGATTTGCTACGGAAAAGGATGGACTATATTATCTTGAGACATCAAACAACACAAGTAATTTCAAGAATAGTTTACCTTTGTCATTTCTTTCTAAAAAATCTTTCAATAAAGACAAAATCTGGCTTTATCATTTTCATCTTGGGCATCCTTTTTTTGGAACTTTGAAAAACATATTTCCTTTTTTGTTCAAAGGATTAAATGTAAAAAATTTTCATTGTAATGTTTGTGAACTTGCAACACATAGACGTGTCTTTTCCAGTTAGCAATAAAAGAAGTTCTACTCCTTTTTACTTGATTCATAGTGACATATAGGGTCCCTCTACAATTCCTAATATTTTAGGTGTAAGGTGATTTGTTTCTTTCATAGATGATTGTACCAGGTTCTCTTGGATATTTTTACTTAAATCTAAATTAGATGTGACTAGTGTGTTTTTAAACTTCCACAACATGATCCAAAATTAATTTGGAGTGAAAATCAAGAGATTTAGGTCTGATAATGCAGGAGACTATTTCAACTAGAGTTTATCTACCTATTTCCAAAATGAGAGGATTATCCATGAGTCATGTTGTGTTAATACTTCATAGCAGAATGGAGTGGTGGAGAGAAAAAATAGTCATTTAGTAGCGACAACTTGAGCTTTATTTTTTCAAGCAAACGTACCCAAATCCTCTTGGGAGGAAGCTGTTCTCATTACCAAACATATTATAAATAGGTTACCTTCAAAGGTTTTGGGATTGAAAACTCTTATGAAACTATTCTCACAATTCTATCTCAACTTTAATATCACAAACAACCTCAAACCTAGGATATTTGGTTGTACATCATTTGTTCATGTTCACAGTCCCAATAGGGGGAAGTTGGATCATAGAGCAATTAAGTGTATTTTTATGGGATATTCATCAACTCAAAAATGGTATAAATATTATCATCCTCCAACTAAAAAATTCTGTGTTTGCAGATGTCACTTTTGAAGAAAGTAAACCATTTTTTACGCAACCCTATCTTCAGGGTGAGACTTCATTCATGGAAGATAAGGATAAAGACTTCTTTTTGCTTGATTTATCCTCTTCTTCAACATTTTCACCCATTAATTCTTCTAAGTCGAAATCTATTTCTGTTGAGCTTAAGTCAAACATTGAATTTGAGTCTGAACCCATTCCAAACACAGAAGATGTGACAAAGGATAATATTGTTCTTGATTCTATGAAGTAATTACAAGTGCATTCAAGAAAGAAAGTTCCAGATCCTGAACCAGTGCCAGTCCAAGAACCTAATCCTAACTTTGGAAATGAGGTAACTACAGTTTTTGACTCTATTTCTCAAAATGAGCTTGAATCTCCTCAAACTATAACTAGTGATTATGATCTGCCTATTGTCATTAGGAAAGGAACCAGAGAATGTACTAAGCATCTATTATACCTAATATCTAATTTTGTGTCACTTGAAAAATTCTCACTATTCCACAAAAATTTTCTTGTGAGCCTAAACACTATTTCTGTTCCAACTACATTATCCGAGGTATTATCTAGTGAGAAATGGAGGCAAGCCATGAAAATAGAAATGAAGGCCTTAGAGAAAAATAAGACATGCGAACTGGTAGAGTTGCCTAAAGAAAAAAATCCAGTAGGGTGTAAATGGGTTTTCATTGTAAAATATAAGGTGGATGGTACTGTTGAAAGGTATAAAGCTAGGTTAGTGGCTAAGGGCTACACTCAAACCTATGGAGTGGATTTTCAAGAAACTTTTGCTCTAGTTGCCAAAATGAATACAGTTAGGATTTTGTTATTATTGGCTGCAAATTACAATTGGTAGCTTCAACAATTTGATGTAAAGATGGTTTTCTACATGGTGATTTGGAAGAAGAAATATATATAAAGGTTCCACCGAAATTTGGAGGTCATCTAGAAGCAAATAAAGTATGCAAGCTGAAAAAGGCTTTATATGACCTTAAACAGTCTCCTAGGCTTGGTTCAGGAGATTTGCCAAAGTGATGCTAGCAATGAGATATAAATAGAGTCAAGGAGATCACACATTATTTATCAAGTACTTTGATTTAGGGAGAGTGACAGTTTTATTAGTGTATGATGATGATATAATTGTAACTGGAGATTATGAAAAAGAGAAAGAATCTCTAAAACAGTGTTTGGCTAGAGAATTTGAGATAAAAGAGCTAAGGAGATTGAAGTACTTCCTGGGAATTGAAATAGATCACTCACGGCATGGTATTTTCATCTCACAACAAAAATATGTGATGAGTTTTTTTAAGGAAACTGGGAAGCTCGTATGTAAACTTGTGAATACCCCTATAGACCTTCATCAAAAAATTGGAGAAGCTAATGAAGATGCTATTGTAGATAGAGAGATGTACTAAAGGTTAGTTGGAAGACTCATTTATCTCTCACATAGTAGACCTGATATAGCATATGCTGTGAGTGTGGTAAGTTAATTTATACGTAGTCCTAAAAAAGTGCACCTACAGGTTGTCTACTGTGTATTGCACTATTTGAAGGCCAATCCTAGGAGATGTATTTTATTCAAAAGAAATTCAGGACTAGTTCTAAAAGCATATACAAATGCTGATTATGTAGGTTCAGTAATTGATAGAGGATCCACATTAGGCTACTGCACTTTCCTAGGTGATAATCTTGTAACTTGGAGGAGTAAAAAACAGAATGTGGTGGCAAGATTAAGTGCTGAGGTAGAGTTTAGAGCAATGGCTCAAGAAATTTGTGAGCTACAATGGTTAAAGATTATCCTAAAAGACTTGAAGATCAAGTGGGATGGACCAATGAGACTTTACTGTGATAACAATTCTGCAATAAGCATTGCACACAATCTTGTGCAACATGACAGAACAAAACAGATTGAAGTAGACCGGCATTTCATAAAAAAGAAATTAGACAGTGGGTTGATTTGTATGTCGTATGCATCAACCAAGGGTTAACTTGTAGATGTGTTGACTAAAGGTCTTAGTAGTGCAACATTTCAATAAATTATTTTCAAGCTAGGAATGGAAAACACTTATTCACCAGCTTTAGGGGAAGTGTGAGAAAACACTTATTTACAGCTGATTATAATCTTGTAATCTGTATATTTGTATTTGTATATCTAGAATTAAGTATTTCTATCCCTAGAATTAAGGACCAAAATAAGGATAAATAATCTCTCAATTATAAGATCAGTTTTAGGAATATTTAGTTTCCTAATTTACACAGTAGTTAGTTGCATATAAACCTAAGGTGCTTGTATAATTCTTTATGAGCAGTTTTTCAATATACATTCAGTTTTACTCTTAATTTTTCACACAGTTTTATTTTTTAGTTTTTCTACAGTTTTGTTATTTTATGCATCTTAGATATTTCAAATACTCAGCTTTTTTTTTCATTGCTATACTAAGCACTTAAAATTTCTAACCACACTTTTTAAATACATTTTTTTCGGTCCAAACTTTTTCAACTGCAACAGCAATGCTTAATTAGCCCTAAGTGTGGTATCTGATAACTTTCAAAAATAAATTAAAGTGTAGTATCTGTTTTCAGTTTACAATTTGATAACATGAGAGCCTATAGGTTCACTTGAATTAAGTGTCAATATCTGTTAGCTTTTTTTTTTTTTTTGCAAAGAAAAGAAAGTGTGGCATTTTCTCTTATCAGTTTAGATTTGATAGCACCTGAGCGTACAGGTTCACATAAAATAAAATTCCTTTAAGGGGAAGGACCTATAATAGTAGCTCACCATTGTTTTTTTTTTTGGGGGGGGGGGGGGGAGATAGCCTTCAGTGTTGCTGCCCCTGCCTTGCAATACAGTGAGGACCTAGCAAACCCACCAAAAGGAAAAAAAAATGCTTGAAGTGGTGTTTTAGATATGTGGATTACAATATGTGATAAATAATTGGGTGGACCTATTCCCATGCACATTTTGATTGTTCAACGCATATTATGTCATGTTGACGTAACATGCAAGTTCCATGTACGTATAAGGCTGACATTTGCAATGAAGAGGCCATAGCATGTAGAGAAGTAGGGTCACCCTAAATAATTTGAGCAAACTTTATTGCTTATGTTTTTTTGATAGGATTGGATATGGTTTATGGGATGCAACCCTTTCTTTATTACTTCTCCAGGTTGGCATATATCAAAATTTCAATCAAATGCGATTGCTCAGAGTTACATCATCACAACTCTTGAGGAGTCAATAAAATAGGTCAATTCAGCCATGCGCCTTCTACTATGGGAGCATACAAATATCCTTTTCTTGTGGCAAATAAATAATTGAGAACCACAGCATGCTTGCGCCCACACACGACTAATAAGGTGCTTACACACAAAATTATGCAAGGAAGGTGGCCTTTTCATAATCCGCTAGTCATATTATAGACTTGGGATTTAGTGAATAACCATTGTTGTGGGTTTGATACCTCTTATTTATCATTTTTGTACTGTATATTTGGGTATGACTGTTCCCACGAGAAAATGTTCCTGCAGTTTGACTGGTTTTTAAGTCAACAAATTCTGATGCTCAAACCTTGCTATGGTTGATTGTGTTCATCTTTTGAATCTAGAACTGCTTTTAGATTATATTTAGTCTTGATGGAGTTTCTACAAAGGGAGACTTAACAAATAGCAGCTGAGAAAACCTTTAAATACTTTCAATCTCAGGAGCGTGAGCTAGTGAACAAGTATAATTATGTTGTCAGCTTATGGAGAAGAGTAAGTGCACTTGTTGTCATCTTTGATTAATGTTATTTAATTAATTCAATTAATATCATATTTTACTTATATGATGGTGGTGACTGTTTGCTGTACAGGCTAACATGCATTTTTCTTTTTCAGATTTCAATTATTTCTGGAGAATTGAAATTATTTAGATGCCATGAGACTGCTATATACCTTAGAAGAAGCATCCAAAGGGTTTGTTTTCGCTAAAAAGTTTCATTATTTCCTGCCCTTCTAATTTTTTGGTTAAATTTGAAAATAGTTATGCAGATAAATTGCGATCTTTGTTTTGCATTTAGTAATCTTATCAGTTAGAAAAAGAAGGCTTCTTATGATTAACTGATGCGATTTTTTTCTTTCTTATATTTGAACATCCACATGCAAACACATTAATTTTTAAATAGTGAAGTGAAATTCTTAAAATAAGCTTTTAGCTCTTAAAAAAGACGAGCAAAATACTTATTGAGGAAAATATAATATTTAAATGGATGAAAATCTTTTCAACAAGTAAATATTGGAAAGAACATGAGGTGAAGCACATAAAACTCTTTAAGCAATGCTAAGCAAATGAAAATAGCAAAAACTAAGATAGGGTTTGATTTCAAAAAACAGAATCATTTTCTGTTTTCATTTTCCAAGAAAATAAAAATGAGTGGAAGCGTGTGTGGTAATTAAAAATGAAAACAAGTTTGTAGAAAACAAAAATGAAAATGGAGTGAAATATGAAAACAAAAAAAAGATGTTTTCAATTGTGAAAACAAAGGGTGTACATTACTTTTTTCCTTACCCTTTTATAAGTTATCATATTTAAACATTTTTTAATATCATTAATTAATAAATATATATTATATTTATAATTAAATGACATTAATAGTAATATTATTGAATATTTTATTTATTTATTTATTTTTTCATTTTAGAAAACAATTTTTATTTTCGTTTACCAAATACATTTTTTAGAAAATAAAAAATAAAAAATAAAAAATATTTTCTAAAAAATGAAAATAAAAAATAAAAACAAAAAAACATTTTCTCAAACCAAACAAAGCCTAATATTCTGTGCAGTTGTTTCATCCGGCCTTTAAGTTCCATGCTTTTTGGCCATATTTTGCATTTGGTTGATGGAGATGTGGACTTAGTTTTATCTATTAACTGAATTGGTAGTTAGAACAATCTGACTCTGAGCACCTTACTTGATATCTATGATTCAGTAATCTTTTTCTACAGCTGCTCAATGCCCTAATATGTGGTAATATCTTATGATCTCCTAAAATTAAGTGTTTGACGGAATGATATTTCTTTTGAGTTAAAATGTCAAGACAGCCAGTGAGATTTAGATGTTTATGATATTTCATTGGAGGATGTTCCAATTTTGTGGTAATAGCTTCTGATTTCTTAAAAGCAAACTGCTTTCCTGAATTTGATGTTATGATTTTTCTGTTGTAATGAAAAATTCAAGAGGTCCAGTCGGATTTAGATTTTTATGATATTTCATTGGATTGTGGTTCAATTAATTCATTATCATGGGGCTTACTGTTATGAACTCAACTTCAATAATAGCAGAGTTAATTACGCTTTTGGTTTGAATTTTGGGAAAATGTACAACTTTGGTACTGAAAAAAAAAAGAAATTTACAACTTGCACCATGAACTTTCAAATAATGTATCATTTTAATTCAAATTTTAATACTGTTAACACTCACTTATATGATATTTAACCAGTATAATTATATTATATGCATGCTATTTTTTAAATAAAAGTGTTAAATATTTAGTAAAAACTTCACATGAATGTCATGTGGATGCTACATGACAAATAATAATTGACCAATCCTAAACTCTTTTATTGTTTAGGTAAAATAATATATATTTTAATTTAGTGAAAAATGTTGATAGTATGTGTGTTGAACACGTAATTTGATAATAATTATCAAATGCTATATATATAAGTTGATATGATTAACGGGATAAGAGTTTTGGTTCACATGATATATAATTTGAAAGTTCATGATGCAAACTATATATTTTATTTATTTAGATACCGATTCATACATTGTCCATAAGTTCAGATACTAAATATTTAATCAACTCATAATGGTATTTTGAATTTTTGACCATTGGTGAGACTTTTATTTTATGGAACTAAAATGACCTGTTCAAATTCAGATAGATTCTATTCAAAACCTGAAACCTGAAGAAACTTGGGGATCTAAAAGAACGAGCGAAAAAAATAAATAGGAGCCCTATCCTTGTTTTCTTTTTTTAATAGCTAATTCTGGAGAGAGAGAGAGAGAGAGAGAGCTTTTTGGGGAAGAATGGCGACCAATGCCTTGGCCACAAAAGTTAAGAAGCCACTTAGAAGCTTTTCAAATTTTTTCCTCCAATTTCTCACAAAATCAATGTGGCACATGGGAACTGTTATCTCACTTTGGTAGAAAATTGGTCTCCTTTGTGTGTGTGTTTTGTGAGATGTGGGTATTGGGTTTTCACGTCTATAAGCAGTAAGAACCTCTACCTTTGTAGATTGACTTGTTGGTTTTCTTGCTCTTTGATTCTCTAAATGCTAATTATGGCACTTGTAAACTTGTAATGGTTGCATTCCCTCTCTAACTGCTCTCAGAATTGCAGCTTGTGCGGCAGAGCACCCTTCATTCTTTGTGTTAATTGGTTTTTTTTGAGTGCAAATAATGACCAATTCCACTTGTTCTAAACATGTTTTGGTGAAGGTTTTTGTTTTCTTACAGTCTCTCTCTATATCCTTGAACAGTTAAAACAGTGATTTGCAAGCAGTTAAAATTTTGGGGCTGATCCGGTAATTTACTTTTCTTATGCAGGTTTGTTGATCAAGTGAATACAACCATATCCCTTCTTCGCCCAATTCATTGCAGAAAAGAGACTGAGCTGATGTCATGGTTGATAAGTAGCAGCGGTGATTGGTTCAAAGCTTCTTGTAGATGTCTCATGAAGGACTAAAATTTCCCCCCATAGTCATAGAGGCTTGTCATACACCAGTTACCATTCACCACAACAAAGTTGTATTAGAAATGATAGTTTATTAGAGATTAGAAATGAGAAAGTGGCCAAATGATAACACCAAAAATATCAGAGATCTAGAATATTGATTTGAAAATTGTCATTTATAACATGCCCAAAGAGATTACCAAATATAGCAGCTTCATGTGTAAGTAAATTGTACTAATTGTCATTGCTGATGTTTCAAAATAGAAAAATTTCGGAGCATTTACTGTAGGCCTTGAGGATGAATCCTGTGTATCTTGCATTTACTAAGGCAAATTGACATGGATGCAAGTTGAAAGGTCAATAGTGTCTCAAGTGGTGGTATGTATTTCAGCTGCTTCCGCCTGTGGGGAATGAGATAGTGAATGAAGTAATGAAGTGATTTCCTCATGTTGAGGCAGTGACAGCAACCTTTGGGAAATCAAGGATTTTTTAACTGGTCTTTGAAACTGTTCTTTAGTTCATCAGAAACTAATGCGTAATCTAGTGTAAGTGAAACCAAAGCCTGAGCATTCATTGCAGTTTCATGTTTCCTTATCAACTATTCCATGGTTCTTCTTTTATTTATAGAAAGTTTTCTTTATGGCCTAAAATTATACATTTGACACGAAAATTTCATTAAAATTCACTTCAAATAAAAAATTATTTTAGTCTCATTTACAGTGGAAATTGGTTCCCATGGCGGTGATTGTATCGACATAGGGGAAGACTTGCCGTTGTTCTTGTTTTAGAATTAGAAAGAGTATAAGATAATGCAGAGAACATGAGGACAATTAGGGGATGTAATCAAGTCAAGGAAGAGTAGAAGATAAGGAGTTGAAAATAATGCAAAGAATATCATCACAGTTAGGGTGTAATCAAGTTGATATATTGTTAGGATTCAAGCTCGCCTAGGTTCCCAAGGCAAGTTCATAGCAAACTTTCTTCAACAAGTTTTAATTACCCAACTGGCTGCAGTTGGGTCATTCATAGTTATTAAAATGGGATTGGATAAGCGGCTTATGATCTAGAACTTCATTTGATTTGATTTTATTATTAGACGTTTATGTAATTAATCCGTCAAAAACAAGATTGATCATTTATGTAGTTTTTTAGCAAACCCGATGAATCGGATGTACATTAACCTAAAGGTTGAACCTTAAATGACACATATAAAGTAATAAATATTGTTGACTTTGCTTTTACGTCTTACCTTTTTATTGCTGATTTTGTTATGACTAATACTAATATACCATTAACTAAAAAGTATATTAAATGGTTAACATTAAATTAGAATAAATTAGATTTTTTCCAAAATAAATAAATAAATTAGAATGCCGAAAGATTTCACCATTTTAAAAAATAAAAATTTGTTAAGTTTTCGTCTTTAATTTTTTGATTTAGTAGTAAAAAAACTTTAAGAAAATACTCAAAATTGGGATTCGACCCCAATCTCCTCTCCTCTACTTTGTTACAGGGCTCTATCCCCTTTAGAAACAAAAAAATTTTTTAGATTTCCAGTTTTATGTTATTAATTATAACATCTTGACTTTTTATCTGTCAACAAGAAATAAATTACCTTTGAAAGAAAAAAAAAATCAGTTATTATTTGAAACCACATATGGGAATGTGGACTTCATTATTCCTCATTTTAACATTCACTTTGTACTGTCATATAATGGCTTGTTTTGTCCCCATAGAGGTTAGAAAAGGCAAAGTTATTAATATTGTATCGGATAGTATTTTGTTTTTTTGTTATTTGGTTTTTATAAATAATATATGTTAGATCAATTGTTTTAATATATTATTACAATTTTTTGAGTTTAGCATACATACACATATATATACACATGAATTTATATATAATACTATTAATAATACGTAAAATAATTATATAATACCTTCAAAAATTAAATAAATACATTTAAAAGTATAAAAAATAATATCACTAATTTATCATAAGATAAACACATAAAAACTAACTAGAACTTTAGATTAAAAAAATAATTTTTCATAAAGAAAATCAATCGTTATCATCCACACCAAGGACAACACACTCCCATTGGCTTTCATTTGGTGGAAGAATAATTTCATCCTTTTTTTTTTTTTTTTTATAAAAACAACGTCTTCATCAATCTCATTCAAGATATTGTTTCTTCAACTTATTCCCAATCTTTATCAAGGAAGGAAGGTAAATTTGCAACTCATTTTTGCATAGTGTCAATGTTTTCAAGATTAATAGGGTTCAAGGTCTCTTTCCTCCTTCGAATAATCCTATAAATAGGATACAATTGATTAAATACAAAATTGGTGCCAACCAGAATATATAAATGATTAAAACAAGATATACTCTAACTTAGTTTCAAAATGCGAAAAAAAAAAAAAAATCATAGCGATATTTAATACTTATATGAAACTTAACTTTTTCGTAGTTTCAAATTATAGTGAATGAATTTGAGCTCCAACCTATTTTGCCTTTGCAATGAATGAACTCAAAGGTACTCCACCTCAATTCATCTCACATCCAGTTGCACTTGTACATTGACTAAGTACTCGAATTGCAAAATTTTGTAAGTCCGAGGGTACTATTGCCAAATTACTCCCACCAAGCAACTATGAATAAATAAAATTAAGTTATGATATTACATAATTTAATTTATGCACCAACCAAAAGGTAATGACAAATATGGTTGTATCAAAAAAATGTTATACCTAAATTTAAATTTTTTCCTTAGACGAATAGCTAGAGACAATCTAAAATTTCCATTGGAATTCTTATATTCTTCAAGTTGTGCACTAACTTCTTGGATTAAGTAAGGAACAAGTTGCAATGCAAAGGAAATTTGTTCGCTTTTCCCATCCATTATCAATAACTGTTATGTAAGTTAGATACAAAAATATTACTCCCTCCGTCACAATAAACTTGTTACTATTGAGTTTTAAAATTGTCCCATATCATTTTTAAAAAGTTAGCAAATTTTAACATTTATATTTTCTTCTTTGCCCTTTATTATACAAGTTTAAAGCTACTAAAAAATTTCAACATAATAACTATATCATGTTTGCACCATTATACTTAGCAGTCACGTGAATCAAGAATTGAAAAAAAAATTTAAGGTTTAGAAAATAATCAGGTAATGAAATTGAGTAAAATTAAAGAACACAACTTTTACAACAAAACTATCAATCTATATTTAAAACTTTTCATTACAAAGTGCTTATAAAATCTATACAAAATCTTTTTACATTTACTGGAGCCATACCAGTTAACCTTTATACAAAGGCACAACATTTACTTGAGCCATATATAGTCAAGATTTACAAAAGAAACATCATGATTAAACAAAAATAGTCATAACGGTTTAGGGGGTCACTAGATGAATTTCAAACAACAAAAAAAATGGAATTGCCATAAATATTTTTGGTTAGGTGTGATTGGCTACTTATTAAAGCCTATTTTTTAAATAAAATTTTAAAATTAATTAAAATTTATCAAAAAGATAATTTTTGGGTTTGTAAAAAATAGCTTAGGCTCAGGAGTCGGTTATGCATGGGAAATGATTAGCACCCTCACATTGCCCGTTTAAAATGATACTAATTAATTATGTGTTATCATTTAATATTGACTAAAATGGTCTTAATTTTGGTATTTAAAGATTAATTTTCTTAATTTTCTTAAAAACATATTTTTTAAAATTCAGTAAGTTTGAAAATAAATAAAAACCTTGTATTGAAAAATTCTTAAAAATATTCCAATATTCTAAGAATATTGAAAGGAACCATCTCACCTAAGAAATTTTAAGAATCGCTACTTGAAATTCTTTAGGATCTTATCTTCAGGGATTTTTCATTTGTTTTTAAAAGTATTAAAAGTCATATAATAATGATATTATCCACAAATACATTTATCTTCTAAAAACACTCTTAGTTATTAAGAAAAATTATTCAAATAAAAGAAAATGTTTATAAAATGAAAAATTTTCATATTGAAAAGAAACTTCTAAATATTTAAATACTTTGGTAATTTATAGAAGACTTTTCTCACTTAGAAAATTCTCAGGAATTACTACTCGAACTTCCCAGAGTCCCATCATCGAAAATTTTTATCACTTTAAAATCATGTAATAATATTATTATCTATAAACAAATTTATTTCCAAAAATGTATATTTTCCTAAAAAACTACTCAAATTAAGAATAATGATAAAATATAAATTTTTTGTATTGAAAAGAAACTTCTAAATATTCCAATACTTTGGTAATTTTTAGAAGATTTTTCTCACATAGAAAATTCTCACATAGAAAATTCTTGGAGTGCTATCTTTGAAAATTTTTATTACTAAATTTTTTTTAAGAAATGCATACTTTTATAAATTTTTATTATCTTTTCAAGGGAATTGCTCAGATTAATAAAAATATTGAAAATAATTTCTAAATATTTCAATACTTTGGTAACTTTTAGAAGTCTTTTCACATGTAGGAAATTCTCAGAATCTTTACTCAGAATTTCTGAGAATCCCATCATCGAAAATTTCATTTGTATTTTAAATTATGTAATGCAAACAATAAAGTAGAATATGCATACAAAAATATAACACTTATTATGTTTTAATCTTTTTTAATTGTTTTCTAACCAACACTTTTGAAAGAAACAAAATAAATCAAAATTTTATTGAAAATTTTCCTAGATACTTTGATACTTTGGTGGTATTTTAGAAAAATTTCTCACCTAAGGATTTCTTAGGAATCTCTACTAGGACTTCCTTAGAATCCTATCATTGGAAACTTTTATTCACTTTGTCCTTTCTTACTTAATTAAAAAAATTTTATCTAATTTTTAAACTTCGATCACACCAATTTTATTACTAGAGGAGTCATTACACATTATTATTAACATCTATAAAAAAATTTAGGAGAAATTGACATATGAAACTATTTTATTGAATATTTTTCTAAATACTCCATTACTTTGGTAGTATTTTTAGAAAAATATCCTCACTTAAACATTTTAGAGAATCACCACTCAGATTTCTCTAAAATATCATCCTCGAAAAATTTTATTTGATTTATTATTATAAATGAAAAACAATTTTACAATTAAAATAAATTAAGGTGTAAAAACTAAATTGCGTAAAGATTAAAGTGAACATGGAAATTTAACCAAACTAACAATGAAAGGAAAATACATGGGATTTAAATTATACTCACATTTGAAACAACATTAGAGAAATTTTAACATCTTTTCAAAACTTTACAAAGTTGTAAACAATTCAAAAAGAAGAATAAGAGATGATTTTAAGCTAGGTGAAATAATATCATTAACAAAAAAAAATAAAAATAGAAATTCCAGCTTTCATGAGTATTCCTTATACCAAAGACCAATATATTCAATGAATATGACCAAATCCAATTTAGCATCAAACAAATCAACTTGGAAATGCATTGACCACAACTTCTATGAAGTCAAGTTGAAAATGCATATGGCATGTAAAGAAAATGAAGCCAATTCAGTCAACAACTAAATTATATAAGTGAGAACATGGTAGTAGCTAAAAACAACAAAGGAATGATTGAAATCATGCCATATGGAAGAACAAAGGAAGTCAACTT